CCCCCCACCACCAGCAGCAGCAGCAGCAGTGGTCCCAGCAGCAGCAGCAGCATCAGCAGCAGCAGCAGCATCAGTGCCTTCAGCCATCGCAGCACGCCACTCCACCGCCATCTTCATCCCAGGCAGAGGAGCTGTGCTTCAAGCTATGGCTCCCATTCACGTCCGACCACCGGCTCCCATCACCAGTTCTCTTCAGGCTCTCGTACCCGTGGCCTCACGTCCACCTGCGCCCCCTGTCCCTGGGAGTGTGCGCTGCAGTGGCTGCTCAAAGGTGCTAATAGTGATGTCATCGTCAACAGGACGTTTAAAGGAGCCGACGCCTCGTTCTGTTCTGTTCTAATGGAGGTGTGTCGTTCTCATTCTCCCATGTCCTTCTTAAAGGTCAAACCGCCTTCCAAAGGAAAGGTTCCACGCAGCTGTTCTGCTCCACCGTCTGTTTGACGGGACATCTGCCCCCTGCCAGCAGGGCCAGGAGTTGTTTCCAGTGCAACAAGTACTGATTGTCATTGGTTGATAAGTCAACATTTAAAATCTGTTTCACTGCCACCTCTGCAACACACACTCTGGACAATCACCTACAATATATGTAGGAATATATATATATATATGTATATAAAAAATACACTGTCCACGGTGTGAATTTATCACCAATCAGATGTAGATCACACTGTTCCAGTAGTAACCTGATGTTGGTGGGGGGGGGGGTCTGAGACTAGGATCACACTGGGACTACAGCTAGACTGGGGGGGTTGACAACACTCACTCCAAATACACATGTGTTTGTATATGTGTATGTTGTCCTTTACCGTATCATCAGCTTCTCCTCCTCCTCCTCCTCCTCCTCCTCCTCCTCCTCCTAATGCGTCTCCTGGGTTCTCTGCAGGGACATCCTTCAGCCCAGGGACATGGTCATCATTCCAGGTGAAGGCCCCAACTCCTTTCTGAACTTCTGTGGTCAGTTCTGTCTGTCAGTTTTCCGACACAAGAAGAAAACCAATGAGAAGATTGTTGACAAATGGGCTGAGCAGAAAGTGGAGAAGAAACCTGAGAAGCAGCCGGAGAAGAGTGCAGACAAGTCGGTCTGTAGTGTCTGTAGAACCACAGGGAAGGTAAGGAAGACCTGATGACCCCCGTGGACGTGACGTCTTCACTCTGTCTGTACTTGGACTCGTGTTCGGGGCGCCCGGAATGTTTGAAAATACACCCACAGGTCATTTAGGGCACTGTGACACACCACTGCACCACAGCCAAATGTGACCTCTGCTTTTAACCCATCACCACAGTCAGCAGGGGGCAGTAGAGAAGACTTTCTCCACCTCAGGTTTAATTTATCACCTGATTAAAATGTGAGAGAGACGAGCTACAGAAAAGGAAAGTCCTGATGTAGGTCTACAGTAGGTCTACAGTAGGTCTACATCACAGACAGTGTTGTCATGACTTTCTTCAGTTACTCTGGGGTGGGGGTGGGGGGGGTGTGAACTTTAACATTTTTCTCATTCTCTCTCTTCTCCTCTGTTTCTCCGACCTGCGGCAGATTGAACACGAGGTCACCCTCCAAGGTCGTCTCCACAGACTGTGCAGCGACACCTGTTTCTTGTCCTGGCGTAAGATCCGTCAGTTGGCCATGAACAGCTGTGAGGGCTGCGGTCTGTACGTCAGCAGCAGCTCCAGCTCCTGCCACAGCCTCACCATCGACCAGTGTCAGCTCAACTTCTGTGGCCCCACCTGTATCAACTCCTACAAACAGGTACCTGCTGTCACTCTTACCCTCAGTCCCATCGCTGCATGTCCTTGACACCTGTGCCGGTGGTCTGCAGACCTGCAAGAAGTCCATAGACTGCGCCTGCTGCCACAAGCCCACCCCGGTGTCCTCCACCATCCTGGAACGAGATCACAGGGGCAAAGTTCA